GCCTGTTGCACCTGTTCCCGGATCAGGAGACTCTGCTGTAATCTTGGTCACTCATTCTCTGGTTGCCTCCTGAATGGGCTGGACTTGAAGAGCATCTGTAAACTTTAACTGGTGCAAAATGTGATGGCCCAAGCAGTTATGTGCACTCCCAGACTAGAACAAACTATATGTTTACTCTGAACTGCATCCGTTGCTAGTTTGCTTCTGGATTCAATTCAAGATGTTGATAATGACCACTAAAGCCCCACATGGCGTGGCAGGTTATTTGAGGGGCAGACTTTCTTTGATTACATCTATCTGTCTTCTCAGGTCTAGAGGAAAGGCAGGTTGTGGTCCCATTTACTAAGGGCATTCATTTGTTAGTAACCAAGAGGACAGCCTTTGCTATCCGCCTTTTGGAATATAATTTCCTCCAAGGTGAGTTTGGCTCTGACTCTACTGATCTTTTAGAAGTCCTTTAAACCTGGTTATGTCATTGTGCTAGGGAATCCTACGGAATTACGAAGCCTGCTTCCACAGATTATGTTTTATGATTTAATATTTTAATTAGTTTTAAGTAGGTTTGCTGTTATTATGATTACTTAGTTGTATTTTGTTTCTTGTTACTTTTGTAACTATGTGAGTCTCCCAGAGTCGTGTATGTAAAATGGCCATGCCATCTTAAATTCGCACTCGGACTGCAAGTCACGGAGGAAATAAATACACATACGTACATGCACAGACGTGTTTTCAAAAGAATAGAAAAAAAATACTTGTTTTATGATGGGGCACATTCAAGAAGAAATCTAGAAAGAAGCTTAAAAGGAGCCCTTACAATCCCTACCCCCCCGTGTGCCGGCCTTTTACCTGGACACCGTGCATGATATAAACTTTTTCCGCCTCGCTCAGGACCACCGACGCCATAATAATTAATCCCAAGCGCAGATTCCTTCGCCTCCAAACACCAAGAACCTCTCCAGCCGGTGGTCAAAAAAAAAAAAAAAAAAAAAAAGCGCCTGACACCACCATAGAGTTCCGCTAGTCTCGCGCCTTCGCAGCGCCTTCTGATTACGTCACTCCCCGTCGCAGCTTTTTTGTTTCTTCTCATTTCTGTTACGAATGCGCGGAGAAGGCACCCCTCGCGTATTCTCACTGGATGACTCGTTCCTTCCTTGTACGTCACGGATGGCGAGGGAAGCTCAACCCTGGGATTTCCCGTCTTCATTGCAGTTCGTCTCTGGAGAAGCGGGAGGGTGCTTCTGCAGCTAGACCGAAAGGAGGAAAGAAAATGTCATAGGATTTCTTTCCGATCGTAGGTATGTTTAATCAAATATAAATCCAGTTGATCGCTTAAGAGATAAATGTACGCTGGACTACGGTTTTATTTGTGAGTATACTATGACTAAATTTATGAGTAGATTTGGTATGCAAATAGAATACACTGAAGGTGATGCATAAGTTATTCCGGTAGGCATTCTAAGATATCCCGAATACAATCGTTTTCAGAATTTAAAAATTTAAACATAATAGTTGCAATGCAGAATTAATAAATCTCATATATGCTCTCTATCATCCGGCCTTTTGAACGATACTCAGTATTGAATATGAATTCAGTATATGAAGAAGGTGTTCATAATAATGGACAAATGCACCTGATTTCTTTTCCATACTCTTATGTATAATATGGCAATATATTAATGTAAATAATGCACCCCTGTATTTTGATCAATCAAAGCCATATTAAAGTTTCTAATTAGTTGTCTTTGCAGGAAAAATAAAGTCTTTATGTAATTCTAAATGTTTTAGGGAAAAACTTTCATAGATTATAATTTTTTAGTTAAAAGTGTGGAATATTGACCTTAGAAAGATATATTACACATCCATGGTTATGGGCCTGCAATTTATAGATAACTAAGATAATCTTGCCTCTCTCACCCAAGCTTAAGTAGACGAACATATCTCTTTCCATTATCACAATCAGTCTCTTAAAATATCTTTCCCCAACTTAAAAGAATTACAGTATTTGAGGTAAAATAACTACAGTGTTGCTCCTTTCAGTAACTATAGTAACTATACTAAGGCTATTCTTTTAACCAAACCTATGTAGACATTTATTTCAACAGAACTTTCCAATATATCTGCTACAGAGTTCCTGACCTGAATTGCAAATTGGAATGAAAAACGTATAGTGTTTGGGTAATGGCAAAAGTCATTTTGAGTACTGTATGTTGTATATCTTCTTGTTTTGGAATTGTTTCTGGCATTAACATTGCTGCAATAGCATCAGTAGCATGGTAACAGCCAGTTTACCTATGTTAATCTATGATGAGAAAACAACAGGATTATGCTGGCATATTTTGTTAACAAATTTTATTAAAAAGACACATTTTCGTCAGCTGCAGCTCACTTCATCAGATGCATAAATGAAATGAGTACAGCTCATGAAAAGGTGTGCCTTTTAATAAAAATGGTTACTCAACACGGTGACAGCAAACTCCTAATTTTTTGACATTTAATTCTGTTTCTCCTTTACATTAAGGTTCTTTATCTTTAAATATACCGATTCTAAATAAATTATGGTATCATTTAAAAAATAGTTTGAAGTGTAATATGTTGCTGGTTCATTTTATTCTCTTGATTTCTAGATAATCTGTGTGGCCACTATGATTAATATGCTATTCCTGAATACAATATGCTATATTAGATAGATAGATAGATAGATAGATAGATAGATAGATAGATAGATAGATAGATAGATAACCTTTATTGTCATTTTTTACTGTAGGCACAATCACACACATTAAAAATGAAATTTAGTTGCTTGCTCTCGAAGTGAACATACATAATACACATTTAAACATCCTATATACAACATATGTATAGACCCAGGGCTTTTTTTCAGCCGGAACGCGGCGGAACCGCGTTCCGGCACCTTTTTCCGGGCCGGCCGCACCGGAAATAGCCCCTCCCACACCGGAAATAGCCCCTCCCAAATTTTACTTGCATTCCTGTTCTCTAAAGGGGCGGTCCTAGGGTTTGATGAGGGCGTGGCCAGGTTTGAGTTCCGCCACCTTTTCTC